ATACTTGTCAACATGTTTACACTTAGCTTTTAACTCGAATCTTCTATCTCATAACCTGACATCGGTTACTAATTCTAATTTCGCACCAGTACATTCTCTAAATTTGTTAGTACTACAGTTACACGGGCGTGGTTGCCTGTGATTGTGATTTCCCAATCATTTCACCCCTAAGATGAAAGACACTAGGATTAAAGGAACTGAGAAAATATTGTTGAGGAGATGAGAAAAGTGATCATGGAGATATAATCATCAATGTTTTTGTAGGTCATAGCTGACAGACAAGCAAGAAGCCGGAAGAGAGTCGCATAGGTGATAAGTGCCAGGAAAGAAACCTTTGAATAGAGCATAAACTTACGCCTAGCAATTTTAATGACCAGATCTAGTTCCCAATATAATTCTGCGCTTAAATTCATGAATTCAAGGTACCAAAGAGGAAAACAGAACAATGGCCATAAAGATATTTATAGCAAAAGCAAAGCAAGCTATATTACGGCGATGGGAAAGTTATTGAAGCTGTGATCCTACATAAGAACCGACATTACAGAGTATTGTTTACATTTTATCAAAAACTTCGATAAATATATCAGACGAACTAAGCCAGAAGAAATCCGGCAACAAGATGTAACGCACGGACGAATCCTAGACTTATACGTGTCCAAGATTAATTCTGATGAGAGACACAGTGAGCTGATTTTTCTAGCAACTGACTTAGTAAGTGATTCAATATAATAGCTAATAACAGTGGAAAACGTCAGATTGATATGTCACAGTGATTTACTCACCTGGAGATTTATATCAACTCTGCTGACGGGAGGCGAAAAAGGTTCTCTTTTCGATTAAAAGACAGCAGTTTCATGAAAATTAACAAGCAATTCCTTGCCCTAGTTAACAACAGAGTGTAGTTCATTTCTGAGTTCATTTATCAAACCGAACAGACTCATTATTAAGACAGGAGTAAATAGTTTGTTCATCAGCTTAGATACCGAGTTGAGAGTTGATGACACCAGGAAGATCGTTGATGAAAATTAGGAACCACGAATCCCTAAAGATAGAAACCTGTGGACACTTATCGTTAAAGTAAAATGAGCTTGAAGTATGGCCCGTCAAGACCACTTTCATTTCGCGAAAGACTGAATCAGTTAAAAAATCCGTACAGAGATACCTTTGAACTTGTGAAGAAGACGATTATTTCAAACCATGTCAAATGCCTTAGTTATATCTAAATCAGCAGCTTGAGCTTCACAGTTTCTATCTACTAACTTTATAGACTCTTTCAGAAATAAGCATTAATAAATCAGCAGCTGACCTAGACAAGCGAAAGCCATACTGCTTATCAGAAAGGAGACCCTGCCGGTAATAGGATTAACCAATTCAGTGTTGATTAAAGCATCTATTGGTTTGCGAAAAAGTGATAGAAGCATAATAGGCCAGTAGCTAAAGTGATCAGACACTTTGCCCGAGTTTCTTAAAGACTAGATTTACAGAGGACGATTTCCAACAAAGCATGAGGCAGTACAACCTTTATTGCAGTGTTTAGAGAATACAGGAGCCAATACAGGAGCACATGTATATATCATGGATTCCATCAGGACTACTTGCTTTGTGGAGATCAAATTTAGAGATGAAAACAGAAAACATCGACGGATTTACATGCATGTTACTCAAGAAAGATTCAGTTCTAAGTGGAAAGTCAAGACGAGATCATTAAGATGCGTCATGAGTAGAATTTGAAAAACATACTCCTTTATCAGCAGAAAATATTGATACATCAAACTGAGTAAAGAGAGGGGAATAGAAAAATTACTCTTATTTAACACACTATTAAAGACCCGACAGTATTCACGACAATCAAAATGTTAGAGGCTATAAAGTGCCTCATTCAGTCAGTGAGAATACGTTTATAATTATTACGAGTAGACACAAAGAAGTATATGTAACCAAGCAATCGACAATATAGTTAAAAATAATATAAAGTAGCCACAGACTGCATTTGGATTCAGAATAATTTCCGCTCAGTAGCCCCTAAAATAATTTGAAACATACCGCTATCGCACACCAAATTACTGTTCTAATAATATGATAGACCTACTGGTAATGCACCCTTGACTAGCATATATAAATAATCAAGCAAAATTACAATATACATGTCCTGATGATTGCTTTTAAACATAAAACAGACTGACGCCACAATGTCCATATTTATATTTACGCAAGCGCGGGCGCACACAGACACACACATACACACGTGGTTCAAGAGCGTGACTAATGGAAGACACTATGTCTGGCAACAGGACTCTGCAGTATACCACACAAGCAGAAGTACCCAGTCAATGCCGCCAAAAACTTTCTGCAACCACATCACCATCTGACCACTAAACAACCCAGACTGGAACTACCTTTATTCGTGTGAGGCGCAGCTGACCGAGAGCCCAACAGAACTCTTTGTAACACAAGTGATGAACTAAAAGAAAAGATTATAATATTCACCAACTTAAACATATATATATATATATATATATATATGAATAAATATAGTTTTAAGGAAATATGTGCTATATTTATGGGATATATCAGAGATAGATCGTATGTAAATATAAATATAAAAGTGAACACTGAAGTCAACACTCAGAGGCGACAGGCTGTTTCTATCATGAAACAGCCTGTCGCCTCTGAGTGTTGACTTCAATATTCATTTACAACACTGTTTGACGCTGAGCAATTTTCCAAATATGGTAAATTTTTCATCGTTTTGTCGTGAGTTATATTTATCAATTATTTGAAGGATGCGTTACGTACCTACAGTTCAAAAATTAAATCTTAGATTCTATAAAGTGTAGTTTCTCCTTCATTTAAGAACATGAAAAATTTAATAAATAAATGAAATTATTTTGAAATAAGGGCACACTGACAGATTGCATCTCAAAAGAGTAAAAAGACCAATAAATTTCTGGGACGCTATTACAAAAAACTGTCACACACACTGAGAAATCACTATGAGTTAAGCAGCACTCACAATGGATAAATAAGTAAAAAAATAAATATGTGTAATAAAATGCTCTTAAAAAATAGACAGTTTTTATGTACGTCAGAAAATGAATGTCTGTTGTGTATATGTGTGGTATGGATGGCAACATACAGTTATCCTGGAAATAAAAGATAAAATATCTGACAAATTGATTGCCACAGATGATCAGCCAATAATATTTGAACAGATCTTTTCAGTTTATCACTCAAAGAGTAATAATGCAAAATTAAATTTGTCTAAATCACTATTCGAAATAATAATTAACTATAAATGCATACTGATAAAAGGTCTAACATCTAAATCTATTTTTGGTGAAAGAGGTTGGTGAAGAATGATCAGAATGATTAAAGCTGGCATAAAAACAGCAGTAGACCAAAGAATAACTCTTGATGACGTTGGTATACAGAAGAGTATCTCTGGAAGGAACGCTGGGTGTCATTCCTGTGGGTACATATCACTAATGATGAAAAGATTGCACAATAGAAAATTGGAAAAATTTATATCGTTTCATATTGGTTTGATAGGTTTAGAATTTACCGTAAGCAGCATGAATATATATGAATCCATCCTGATTTGTCCCCAGACTTCAAGTTGCTTATAGCCTTGGCTTTGTCCTGGTATGGGGATTATATTCTTCGCGTATAATTGCTCTTGGTACCAATAAAAGATTGTTTAAATGTCACAACCTACCTAAGTACTGACCGGATGCTGTAGAACAGAAGATTCGAATCCTGATGTGAAGTGAACTAATTGAAATGATATCATAAGAGAATATATCCAAATTTCGAAAAATTGCGTATAAAACATCGTCAGTCCCATACCAAGAAGGATTAAGGTGGTTCTAAGGGAAAAGTTTGTACAACACAGTACTGAATATGCATATATTGTAAAGAAACCAGTAAGTACATTTCGATATACGTTTGAACAGAATGGTATGAAAGGCAACAGAAAGAGAATAAAATATAAAATCGATAGAAAGAGGCAGCGAAAAGAGATAGAGACAGAGGAAAATGATAGAGTGAGAGAGAAAAGCGATAGAGAGATATATATAGAAAAGACGATATATATATATATATATATAAATATATATATATATATATATAAAAAAATATTTGGGTTTGTCATTGACAGAGGTCTCAATTGTAACAGATGTTGGAAGATATCCATATATTCTATTTCCGTGGAAAAAAAGTTTGTTATCAATGAAGAAATAAAGTTTAGAGACAATGAAAAAAAATATGATAGGTAACAGGTGGAAGTTTATCTAAGGATATACACACACACCATACGAAAACACAGACAATTCAAATTGAAAATGTACATATATATATGTTTTTATATTTTATTATATATATATATAGGCCAAGAAAATATATATCAATTAGCGATATATACGTGTTAAAAAAAAATATATAGGGCAATTTAAAGAAAATGTTTCTTCCCCAGAACAAAAGCCACGGAGAGAAACATACGCCAAGATGGGAGAAAGGAGAAAAAATACCGACCAGGACCTCATTGGCCGAGAGGTCACGTGACGCACGAGGAGAATCGGTCGACGCCCTTGTCAGAGGTGAGAGGAAGACCCGATAAGAAGAAGCGGTATACGCCCTCAGAGAAGAGAGTGAAAGAGAAAAAAAGGGTGGATACGATCAGAAGAGAGAAAACTGCATCAAAGAGAGTTAAGAAAACGCGGGCGAGAGAGAGAGAGAGTGGAGAAGTTGGAATCAGAGAGAGAAGAACATATGACGGCGGGAAGTGACCAATAAAGAGAAAAAAAGACGGCGAAAAGACACTTCTGGACTCTTCTTCAACCAAGAACAATAGTTTGAAGAACTTAGAATCAGAGAAATAAGTTTTTTTTCGAATTTCGTAGACACAAACACAAATTTCTTAGAGAAAATAAAGTTGCCTGTAAAAGCCACAAAGAAATAAATATAAAGAGGGAAATATGAAAAGAGAGAAAAAATATACAAAG